TAGTTGAGGTTGGAAGGGGCCTCTTGAGATAGTGTGGTGCAAGCCCCCTGCTTAAAGCAGAGTCATCTACACCAGGTGTACTACTCCAGTCAGGTTCTGAGTACCTCCAAGGATGGAGACCACGTGGGTGCACCCTGATCCAGTGTTTGACCACTCTTAAGAGTTTAAAATGGTTTAAGCTTAAATAGAACTTCCTGTGCTCCAGTTTGTACCTACTGCCTCTTGTCCTGTCAGTGGACACCACTGAGAAAAGTCTTGCTCCACCTTCTTTATACCCTCCCCCAGCAGACAGTGTACACAAGGTAAGATCCTCCTGAGCTTTCTCCTTCCCAGGCCGAATAACTGCAGCTTTCTGCCTCTTGTACAACAGTTGCTCCAATCCCTTACACATCTTCATGACCAGGTTGTGTTCCACATCTGGAACTCTGGCCAGAAGCCAAGCTAGCTGCTTTTGTACCAGCTTTCTAACTTCTCTTACACCATCTGGTAGAGACAGTACTGTAACTACACCAAAGTCTTCTCCTCTTGCAGGCTATTTTGTTAGTTTAACACATTGCCCCAGTCTAGACTTAATACCTTCTTATGATTTTTACTTCTTCATGTAGTGACAAGTGATTTGAAACAAAGTGAGGGTGAACACACCAGTAAGTCATTCGCTTGGAGGGAGGGCGTTTTGTCACAACAGATAAGCCTCTGTTGAAGTTCTTGTCATGTTACCCTTTTGTTTTGTTCAAACCACATGAACAGAATACTTAATTTGCTACAGCTGTCTCAAGAACATTACTACATTTTGTGCTATAAATGCATTACTTGTTGGCTAACTCAATTGTTGCACTTCAGAAGTTTCAGTGTACCACGCTGTAGGGAGTGCGCTGCGGGACTTCCAGTTGGCTTGCCTGTAGCAAACTGTTAGTAACTGCTAAGTTTGTACCAACTATGCAACATGATGTAAACAGCAAAATGCATGCTGTAACATTCAGAACAGCCTATTCTACAGCTTTTTTATAAAAGTCTGATGCATAAGCTAAAACAATTTCCTATATTTCATTATTTGCAAAAAGGTTTTTCAATTCATCATCTTCGAGCTTTTAAAGCCCCTTGGTAGCAAAGTGTAAAATGATGCTAGTTCTGGTGAACTGAACCACTTCAAAACATGCCTCCTGTCTAGCAGAAAGGACTCACACACTAAAAGCCAAGAAAAAAAATAAGTTACAAAATAGAAGTTTAATTACTACTTTAAAACATTTCAAAAGCAGCCAAGACTACTAAGAAAGGAAAAACTAACACTGTCACAAGACTTTCAGTACAATACTCTAGAATAGCCACACATCTTTCATAAGATTTATAAACAGGGTATCACTAGTTTAGAAAACATCTAACACCACATTTGTGAAAATAAATTCAGAAGTGTATCCCCTTGGAAATAAAATTTTAGAATAGTCACTTAAAGCAGAGAAGCTGAAACGTAGGCCTATTTGTTGCTATGTTTAACTTGGTAGTGTTGATGACATTGTAAATGATCAATTTGACTACAGACATCTACAAATGGTATAGAAAAAAAGCAACAAACAAAGATCAGACATAATTTCAAGTAAGTTCAAAGTACTTTTGAAATCAAATACACTTTTTCATGTGAAGGGCCACAAAACATGAGAACAGCAAAAAAGAATTCTGCATGAAATGAAAAGACCAAGAGAACATGGGAGAAGCAAAACAAATCCTGTTAAAAAGTAACAAGCAGTACAAAAGACACATTTGAACAAATGCTGGATTCAAATACAAAACCACCTGCCATTTAAGTGCAAGGCTGAAGTCACAAAGTAATGTTCTTCAAACTCTATTCCTAGACTAAATAAAGTTCAAAAATAACACTGTTTGCTTTCACTGTACACATGTAGTTCCACAGCATGTTGTAACAGCATTTGGTACAAACTTGTATAAAGATGATGTTTCAATCATTGGTCGCTGGTGCAATAAGATCTTAAAAATTCTTCAAGAGTTTGATGGTACTAAGACAGACAGTTAGCAGGTGAAAAAAAACCAGTCGTCCAAGCCTAAAGAAACACTGGTGTTCCCAAGGCTGTCAGATATGTTGCCTTGCATTACTGTAACAGAAGGTATAGACTATTAAACTACTGTTCCAATGGGACAATCAGTACAGCAATAAAAACTGTTATTTAAAGTCAGTCTTTTGACTTTGCTACTCCATATTTACTGCAAGACGACTGATGCCAAAGAAGGTGTTATAGAAATAAAATTGCACCCTTCAGTTCAATATACTTCTGTGATCAAAATTAGAACAATGTCCAGTTTTCAAGACTGTACTGGTTATCAGAATTGCTAATTGTACCCCAACTGCCCACATTCTGTATGTAACAACCTGCCCATCAGCTACTATCGCAGGTACGCCAGATTTAGAGGTGTCTACTCAAGAGTATACTTAAAGATGTGAATTGAAGTTCAGTATTTAAAACTGACTCACTGAAATGAAATCGGAAATCTGATTGTTCTCAGTCAAAACAAAGACTGACCTAATGTAATGATCCTGTTGTAATATTACGTATTCAATATGCAAATGTCTTAAAAGAAAGATACTACTCAAAATCAGTTCCAACTTGGTAATATCACTCATCTGACTTTTACTTTTCATGACTCTCTCACAGACACTGTTTTCTGACCTCATAGGGAACAGAAGTGATAAACGTACAGCTAGAAGTAATTCAAATAACTGGGACTCACTTTTCATAAGCAAAAGAATCCTTAACTTTTTGAAAGTGGATCAATTTGAAGTATATCGATACACTGAATTTATAACAATTGAATGATTTAGCAGATTAATTGTCACTAAAGCTTGCTCTAAAAGTGGAAGATGAGTCACAGCATACTGTATATGAGCAACCTTTTTTAAACCACCAGCCCTCACAAATCCCAAATTCTTAGCAATGCAACAGATGATGTGTTTTCCAGCAACATGGTTTTTTTTTTAAAAACATAGTAAATCTTAGTAATAAAAGAGAAGCCATACAGAAGGTAGGTAACAGAAGTTTTGTCTCGTGCTTTATAGTAAATGCTTGATTAGTTTTAGAAATGCTTAAGGTTCACTTGAATATGTTTACAAACAATCATGGAAGATCTTGAACATTTATCAGTCATGGGGTTCATAAGGAGTACCTGTATGTACACTGGTAGAAAGTTACAGCTATATGCAATAGCTGAAGAAACCCAGACTTAACTCTGTAATCCCATGCCCCCCGACTCTAAATAGGTAATACACATTTATTAAAACTGCGCTTTTTTTCCACAGTAATTTGTTCTTAACAGTTTAAAAAGGAGCATGGCACTACTGATGAAAGAAATAGTATGAATGTATCTTATACAGTCAAAACATCTTATAAATACAGTTAAGCTGTATAAACAGACAATCCAAAACCAGATTCTTACATTAGCTTCATAGAGGGATAAAAGTTAAGACAGTATGGCAACTATTCAAGTGAACCTTTTACTCAGAAGTTCCAAACAGCAATTCGTAGATACCTGTTTTTGAGACACTGTGGGAGAGTAATTCACTCATCTTAGAAAAGGCATAGAGCAGGACAAATAGTGGTGTGATTTCGTGTTCTTAGAACCGTTGTTCTTTCTTATTCCTGAGTTTTTAACCCATTATGAGAGGAGCTTCATTTACTGAAAGAAACACATAGCGAACTAAGGAGTAACTTATTGTATGTGTGATAAATTAAGTTCAATATGTGGTTTGCCAGGAGAACTTCTTAAGGGAAACATGCACAAAAAGCCTGGTTTTACTTCTGTTTGCATACAGCAAAGTTTGGTTGCTGCTTTCAAGAAAAGCTTTGAACTGGGAAGCTATCATCCCAGGGATTACACCCAAGTTAGAAAAAGAAAGCAGGAATCAGAAGTATTTGCAAGCAATCACCTGCTAACTCCCTAAAGGCAGAGAAGTTTGGCCAACAAGCATTTGCTGAAACACCCAACAATATTCACACTCCTGAATGTCACAACCACCTGAACTGCCAGCGCTCACAAGAGCCATGCACCTGGTAAACACATTTCAATAGTTACCCCACAGCACCAGCCAAGTATTTGGAAAACCCAAAGCACCACTTCCATTCCGACCAAACCAAGATCAAAAGTTGTCATATCCTTTTCCTGTAACGTAACAAGTGACCAAGTATCCACTCAACACATCCAAGTACTTAGGAAGGCAGTTGAAATTATTCCATATATGTACTGGAGTCTGCACTTCCTACATTCTGGAAAAACCGAGATACTCACTTTGGAAGCTACAAGTAGTTTACTGCGTAGGCATCTCTGAAACTTCACATAAAGAACTTCATTATCAGTGTGCTGTGGCAGATACTGTGCTGACAAGTGTTTCTCCTGACTCAGTTGTTTCAAGTGACTCTCATGAAAGACAGATACTTCTAAGTTGTTTTGATCTACTGAGTTATACCTTCTTGTGTATTTTGAGACCTAGAATTACAGAATCTTCCATTCTTTTAATCTCATTTGAGAAAAGCTATGAGGTGGGAAGAAGTGAAGAACGATTTTTCTTGTTCAGCTTCTCTCCACAGTAGAGAACACAAAGTTGCTAAACAAAAATGCTAGTGATGTCTGGTCTCGTGGAAACCTATGGGAATTTAAGGGAGCTTGGTAGGGCCAGGATTTCACACTGCATTTTTCTTCTACGACTGCCACCTCAAATACGCAAACTGTTCTCTTTGCTAGCACAGCTGTATTTATTCAGCATGTATCCTTTATAAAAGGAGACTGGCTGTTTACTTTCATACTCTGATGAAGCTCAACGTCTAGTGGTTAAAAATTCAAGAAAACTTGAGGAAAGACGATGAATCTCAAGAGGAAGTCCAACCCAGAATTTTAAACAGGTATGTCCCATGTCCCATACGGTTTAGTTACACCCTAGTGCTTTACACAAAATAATAAATTTCTTATAAATAGATGAATTAACAACCAATATTTCATTTTTAAGCTGGCTTTCCTTTTTTCTTGGGTGGACCTTTGTAGCCTTTGGCCTTTCTTCGCAAGTTTCTCCGATCTACAATGGGGACCTCAATTTCTGCTTCCTCAGAGCTGCTGTCAGCAGCCCGCTCTGCTGCTGTCTGCGTGTACTGATCCAACTGCTCAGCAAATTCTTCTGAGTCTGCTGAAAAAAAAAACCCTCCACTTCAACCACTGTCAAGGAGCTCTGACTCAAGGATACAGGGGCCTCCTGCGAGTTGTGCCCTGCTTCCTCATTCTGATCTTCCAACAAGGAAGATGTTTTGGGCGATAGGTTTTCAGAAATGGACTCTTCTGCTGCTTCAGTTGCCACAGAGTTGGGCAGGCCATTGTCAGAGGGCTCTTCCTTCGATGCCAAAGTGGCTGCAGTTTCAGTGGTGGCCTTTTCAGATTCTTGTTGTTCTTCAATGCCCGCTTTCTCTGGTGATGTAGTTTCTCCAGTCAGCACTTCTGATTCATTTGCATTTAAAACCTGCAAGGGGAGGGGAATGGTGCCAAAACAGCCAAAGGGACAATTAGTTGAAGATACCAGAGGCTGAACAACTAGTGCCCCTAGCTAACAACCTCAGATGATATTTTGGCTTTCAGCAGTTTTTAATACTACATGTACAGTTAAACCAGTCCTTTTCTCCTTTTTGCACAAGACTATTTTGTGAACTGCATTTGATATCCAGAATTGCTCTCCTATTTTCAAATTTAAATTATTCAAAGGATTATTCAGGTACAGTAAAAACATTCTGAAATTAATACTGGGGGGGGAATAAACATTTTTTATTTCAGACATATACAATTATCATTTTGCTAGCACACAACAATCCAGTTTTGGACTATTAACAAAATCCAGTAAAACCTGTATTCTAGAAAGGTATTTTACCAGTAATTAATTGCTTGTACAATTCATCGGGGCAGAACTACTAGACAAAATAAGTACGTTGCTTTACACTCACATCCAACTAATATTTTAGTGAGAAGGAGCTGCTTCATTATTGCCAAGGCAAACTGGAGAAGTGTATTTATTTTTGGTATCACATGCATATAATGGTCCACTTCTGCATATTAAACCACAAATGTTTGTAAATTCTGTTCATGGTTTTACATAATCTGACTTGGTAATTGCTTCTCCCAAGAATTTCGTATGATGGTAGGGGCTACTTTCTATTTGTTACTTAAAAAAACAGCAGATATGTACACTCTGAAGGAAAGGTGACTTCACATTCTGTTTCCATTCTCTCACCTTCTCTGATACAGTGTCTTCTGAAGGTTTTGCCAGAGACTCAAGCATTAATGGAACAAACAGCATTAAGGGTTCTTCTCCTTGACTCTCAGACTGCGATTTTGGTTCACCACTTGGAACTTCCTTTGCTGTTTCCTCTTCAGCCATGAGTGAGGTCTTACCAGTTTCTCCTGCTGCCTCACCATTAAGAGGTTCTGAAAAGCACTAAAAAAAAAAAAAAAAAAAAAGTCACATTTCTAAGTCAAGATTATGCCCAGCCATTGTTCCTCAGCACTAGTGGGTGTGTCTGTGATCTAAATCTGCAGCTTAACGTGAGAACCAGATAGCTTGGGTACCTAGAAATGTGTACTAAGAAGGCAGAGCTTAGTGAAGAGCAGCCACCTTAACCAGCGTATTAGCTCAGTGTTGTCACCTGCATTAAATTTCTGACCACAGCTTACACTGCTGGGAGCCAAGCCAAGCAGTTTTTATGCATCACACAAGCCTACATGCTGCGGTCATTCCTTCAACCCAACACAGTGCAAGGTCCACTTTCTCACTGATCAGTAAAAGCATCAAACCCTGGAGGCATCACTAGGCACAAACGGTACTCACAGATTTAAACTCAAGATCTTAACAAGCTGTAGATAAAAGTTGGATATAAATCTCAAAGCCGGCAAGCTTTAAGTGGAGAAATAACAGGCACAAACTGAAGCATAGGAAGTTCCATCTGAGCACGAGGAAGAGCTTCTTCCCTCTGAGGGTGACGGAGCACTGGAACAGGATGCCCAGAGGGGCTGTGGAGTCTCCTTCTCTGGAGATATTAAAAACCTGCCTGGATGAGGTCCTGCGCAGCCTGCTCTAGGTGAACCTGCTTCGGCAGCGGGGCTGGACTAGATGGTCCCCAGAGGTCTCTTCCAATCCCTACTCTTCTGTTCTATGAAGTAAAATGAGCCAACCAGCTATTGGCTTCTTCAATGAAACTTTTTTTTTAATTAGAGATACTTGATCAGATCTTGACCTTTCTCCAGTTCTCTGGAATATCTAAGTAGGAGAAATCAGTTAAGAAAATCAGGTTGGTAGACAAGCTAGAACTTGATCTTACTGAAGATCCTATGAACTCTATTGTTCAAAGTACATATAATGGAATATTCCCTGAAACTAACTCTGTACTAGCCTTAGTTGCTCAGATATACTTCTCAACACAGCATCGTTAAGAAAATCAAAGATTTGATAGTTAGAGAGGTCAAAGCAGCAAGGACCATATTTAACTGTAATTGTATTCCAAACTTCTCTGCTATCACTATCACATCCAGCTCACCTCCTTCTCACTCCGATTCTCAGGGGGTGATACATGCAGCTCCACTTCTGATGCAGACTGGCCCTCATTTTCAACACTCATTTCCTTATCCTTCTCAACAGTAGTCTCCTCAGATACTTCTACCAAGTCTTCAGAGCTTTCAGATGTGTGGGTAGGATGTTCCAGCCTGCAGCAGGTATTAAGATATATTCTTTAATCCTTTAGATTAATACATAATTTTCATGATCTTGGCAGGGAAATTATTTTATGACCAATTATAAAGCACTGTTATCACATGCTTGCCATAGAAAATAAGAATCCAGAAAACAAAATACATCTAAAAATAGCTAACTCCTCATTAGGGCAAAAAAAACCATGAACTAGGAAAAATTGCTTTGGCAGGTAGAAACGGAAGACGTCTACCTCACTTCCATTTTATCGGAATAGAAGTCAGAAATTTGTGCAAGTTTGTTATTTTAAATTTAGAAAATGTATTTGGAAGCCACAAAGGGGCGAGAAAGGAAGCAACTTCTTCCACCCTCACTGTAGAAACAGTTTAAAATTACGGAGTTATAAAAGCAAATACGTTTGTGTAATCACTGAATATAAATATCTTACAAAGACCATGACTGGAAGAGAATTCAAGCCAATAAACACATCATGGCTAAGGAAGATTAAATCAACACATAGCTAAAGATGAAGCTCTGATGCACCTGATGGGTATAACATGGTCTCAATCGTTCAGTTCTCATTTTTGAGATGATAAAACTGAGATGAACTGGAAGTATTAGATACAAGCAATAAAAAAGTACATGCGATAGATTTGCAGGAGGCTGCTTCATGATCTCATAGTAAAGGCAGTATTGGAGGGTTTTATCCCAGGTGCCAGTCTTGAGATGAAGGCACTCCACAGCAGGAGGTCCCTGACAGAAGACCCTGCTGCATGTGCTGTTGCGCATGGAAGGAGAGAACCATGGAGGAGCCGATATCCTCCCCTGTTGCCATCACGATTCCCCTTAGCTCTGCTCACAAACACCATATCGCACAGCTTGTTCAAAGCAGCAGTGGCACCTCATTGACTTCATTTTGCAAGGCCCAAAATACTGACATGCAGTAACAGGCTAGTCCTCTCACATACCAACTAGCCAATTATTAGTAGTAACAGGGCAGAGAATTTCTCACCCTGTGGCAGTGTCAAGCCACACCATTTGGCCTGAATACAGATGTTTTTACCTTCATGCAGACTCAGTTATAGCAGAACACCCTTAGCCCTCACTGTTTTCTTACTGTTGTTTCCAGTATCTGCCAGGCTTCCAGAGACACAACATTTTGGCGCAGTCACTCTTCAGGTGATGTCTCAATTTACCTTCTCACATCAGGCTTTATTTTTAGCAATTTTAAAAATCAAGCAAGTAAAGTATGAAGAAAGGAGGAGAAATACCAAACAGCACACTGAGACACTGATATAATTTCTGAATGCCCAAGCAACAAAATAAGAAATCAGTAAAATATGGGCTCCTCTACCTGCTTTCTGAGACATGAAGAGCATTTTCCTCATCTCCTTGGGAAGTTTCAGATTTCTGGCTACTTCTTCCAATCCTGGGACGTTTTAAATGACTGCTTCGTGTCCGAACAGAAGTGGAAGCCATGATAACTTCTTTGGGGGGGGAAAAAAAATCAAAAAAAAACAACAACAAAATAAATGCAAGTGAACAAATGCAGTCTAAGATCTGCAAATAATTTTCCCCCTAGTACTTGATTAAAGAAACTGAGTGCAAGTCAAAGAGCATTTCATTGTGGGTTTTTTTTCTGAATACACATGCATAATATCTTTACCAAGATTCATAATAATTTTATCCAAAGTCCTCTAAAAAGGTTTATGAGTTAAGCCTCAGCGCTGTAGAGGAAGGCACTGTGTTTTTTTTTTGTTGGGTTTGTTTGTTTTTTGTGTTTTTTTTGTTTTGTTTGTTTTGGTTTTTTTTATGAATACGCTAAGATTGAAAGCGGCAAGAGAGCCTGCTAATCTATTCACCCACAGTAATCACAATACTGATAATCAAGGTTATTTTTACCTTCAGATGTGCTTGCATGAACATCTGTTGATTCTTTACCTTTTTGAGAGTCAGCCTGTGAAGCAAAAACAAAGCTAATGTTATTCGAAAAGCTTCTGAATTGATTGAAATACCTTCATCTCCCTATCTGTGGTTGCATCTTTCTAAAGCACTATTTCATAGTAGTGGTCCTATGGAAGAGCAGCTACAATTGTTCTTAATTTAAGATACATACATGTATGTATCTTATCTCTCAGTTATTTTTTTAAATTATCATTATTACAAGGATGAATATTTTTTCTGCATTTTACTTCTGTCTTCAACATAGAAGATAAGATTTCAAAGTAACCTGTCATTATAAACAGCACCAACAAGTATTTTTTCCTAACCATTCAGTTTATAACAGGTGTCCATACAATTAAATGCTAGAACTCTTTTTTTGTTGTCTCCCTTTTCTGCATAAGCCCAAGGGACTACACTAGAGTAGCTGACAAAATTTAACAGGAAAGATTTATTTTTACATTTGTATGTGATTTTGTAGTCTTATTTTTATCACGGCACGCAACAGAATATGGCAGCCCATATAAAAAACAGAGACTAGGTAAGAAAAAAAACAGAACTTAGTGATTCAGCAGCAATGCACGTTACATGCACAGGCAGCACAAGGGGCTGCTTATGTCAGAGTTCCCCCTCCCTAGAGCTCTTTTGCCTCTTGTTCTTCCTCACCATCCCAGTACTTCCTTTTTTTCTGCACGTTAGTTGAGGACTCAGTGATCGAGCCCTTGATACTCTGAAGTGGGTACAAGTTGTACACATAAAAATAATGTGATGCACATTGCTCTTTCTCAGCTGATGGAAGTAATCTAGAACTGGCAATAACCAGCATCAAGGTGTTCTGCCACGTTTCCAGCCTTGCTTCCAGTACTACCCAACAAGGTCAGCAAAAAGTGGCCATCTCTACATTCTGCTGCTTGAAATAGTTTCAAGTGAGTTTTAAATACATAAGAATTTGTGGACTAATGAGAAATTATTCTATCATTAAAAAAACCCACAAAATAGGGAGCACTAAGTGAAAGGAGAAAATGAAAGCTGGGGGATGTTTCTTCCTGGTTTGGGGGAAGGTGGCGTATTTTACTTTGTTTGGTAGTCCAGCAATTCTCAAAGCATTGCAGAAATGCTAATGGATAGTGCAGGTGCCAAGAAGAGAGCTGCCAGGAATTCTACCAAGCTATGAGGAGCTGGAGCACTTTGGTATCTATAGCCATCCTCTTCTGAAAGAAGGCAAGAGACAGGGCTTGAGCTCTTAACTCAGAGCAACAAAAGTCATGAGAACTACTACCCCTCTACTATTTTCTCCGAGTATATCCATACAGCTCTACAACCAAGACATGCGTTTTTAAGGTCATTTTGCTGGTATGCCAACTATTGGAATCTGAATCTAGAACTCAGTGCTGATGCCCAAGACAATGTTACAAATGAAAGACAACTAAGTTGCTGCTTCTGGTCATTTAGACACTAAAAACATCACTACTTTGCAGTCAGTTTTGCTTTGGAAATAGTAATTTTCTCAACTGGGAAAAGGACATTTGACTTACATTTCAAATCTAAAGTTTTGATATTAATAGCTGACAGTATAGAATCAACCATTATTTCCTATTTTTAATTAAAGCATTGACTTTTATGAAAGCATGGTCATGTCAATACTACAGACAGTCCTGAAGCACACAAACCCATCCTCACTGTATTTGGACCTACAAGTTATTCTCAAGCACATTCTGTGTGGCCTCAGAACACAAATGAGGTAGAGGAACACACTCACAATATTCAAAGACACAATTATATTCATGACCACATATCCATATGTAGCTGAAATCCAGCTGATGTTTCAAATACATATAAAGCAAGCTGCAGTACTTCTATATAGACAATGCATAACCGAATGCAAACTAAGCATTTTCCATTGTATTGAACTGTGATGTGAATGTGCACCTCTATAAACACTTTTCCTCCTTCTCTCCACTCTCACAATGACTCTACTGTTCAACAGCCTTTCTAGACAATTTCATCTCAAAGCCAGCTGAAATACTCTCCATTCTCTAATCCTCCAGCAAACAGCTCAAATTATAGACCCCGATCAGCTGTGGTACAGACCCTCTAAATGCATGGGGACACCCCAGCCCCCTGCAAAAAAAGAATTGGTATTTTTAACCCCAGCTTTGTCACCACTGTTACATCAATGGGATGCATACCATCCACCCAAAAATAACAAAAGCATTTGTCTTTCACATACAGTGCAGACTCAACCCAATTCACTTATAATGAGATGGACAAAAAGCACTTCTCATACTTTGTTTTATTAGTAACAAAGCATCAAAAAAAAAAAAAGAGGTAACAGTCTGTGTACCTACACTTGGCTGTGTCTCTAGCTCAGTCTTCTGTCCACCTGCTTCAGACACTGCTGCACACTGCTGAAAACAATCCTCTGGTTGGGAACTCTTATTTTCTTTCTGTGAGGCCTCTGTTGTTAAGATTTCAAAGAGGAAACAGAGAAACAGAAAATTATAGTACTTGTATATAGACATTAACTACGCTAAATATGATCCAACAGATCTCAGGACACTTAAAAATCTTTCTGCTGGTTTCATGGGTAGTGTTCACAGAAGTCACTGTTGTACTTGTCAAGTGTTTGCTCAACTTTTACAAAGTGTCAGAAAACAACAAACCAAAGCATCCACACCTGCCATTTTGCACTTTTCCCTTTGCAATAGAGAGATAATAGATTTTCTCTGGAACCAATATCCTACTCCCTGCACTTCCCACAACAGGTTCTGATCCTCAGGGTACTTCTCAAGATATTGCTTACAAGCTGAATAAACATAAGAAAAAACACTGTACTATATATTATTATATATATATATACACACACACACACACACTAGATACACTCAGCTGTAACTCAGTTTTAAAAGTTTATCTGAAATCAAGTTGATTTTCAATCTTCCATCAGACACATAAACCACCACAGAAAGACTGTCCAACAAAACAGTCAAGTCTGACATAAACATAACATTGTTTCACCCCACTCATCCTCCTCAATAAATCCTTTCTTCAGATTTGAACACTTTCCGTTATTATCTTAAACTGCAACAAAGATGCATGGGATTTTCTTCCTCTCTAAACACTCAATTGAGAGTTCTACAACTTCACTCATCACTGTCCCTGCCAATCATAAGACCCAACCCAGGATGGAAGGGAGCTTGGGCAAAGGAAATAGTCCAGTGATTCTTGTCACCCAGTGTTACTATAGGCACTCGGAAAAGCACTTTTTGGGAATGTGAACATGTTACCATTGCATGGTTTATCACCCACTCACTGTTCACTTCTGGAATATTTTCTTCTCTGATGACCCTCCACCTCTTTTCTCCCAATACACACACTAAACATCCATGTGGTGAGGCATGCTTCGACATTATTCTGTGCTAGCTACCACGAAAACTACCATTGTTGACCCGATTCACTACTGATGCACAATCTCAGTGGACAAGGTCCCTGCCATATCACTCCTTGACCAGGGAAATGGATTAGTCATTAAATTCTGCTGAAGACAGTTTGCTGGCTGAAGCCTAACAAATCAGGTCTTGTCAGATCCAACAACAGACAGCGATACTTGGAAAAGCAGAAAACTTCCAGGGGTTAAGGAGGCTAGATGAAAATGTTCACTGAAGGAAGCCTGGCAGATGGCCTCACAGTACGACAAGCCTTGACAAACAGGGCAAAGGAAGTGTGGTTCTTGCCTGAACATAGTCCCAAGCAACACTGTTCCCAGAATGCATGTCATTTCCTAGATAACATTCCTTCTAGGTTCCTAATGGAAGAGCCTAAGTGTTTCACTTGTACATTAGAACTGTGCCTTCTTATATCCCAGTTAAAACACAGCCTATTATGTCCATTTGACCAGAATTTCTGAGAAAGCGTGAATTAAAGGACCCAGTGAGGCTTAGGCGTGAGCAAGAAAAAGGTGCTACAAAGAAGATATACATTAGATCCCACGCAGCAACTCCTCAGCCAATTCTAGAAGCTTAAGGGGTGACACAGTGGTAAAGTCCACAGTAGCAGCGAACAGAGATCCATTATCTAATTTCACATGGAGGATTAAAAATCTAATCAGGAACTACTTCACCATCTTAAAGAACTCAGGATTTTTAGCCCTCGCTGAAGAGCAGAACATTTAATGGAAAAACTGAGGATGCAGCCACAAATCTGGAGCTTGAATGACAGCACTCATGTAGACATGTAAAGAAAGCACAAAGAAGATAAGAAGAATAAATCAAAGAGCTTGCCTGTGTAGATGAAGGGTGACAGTGGGTATCGAAGGCCGAGAGAGTCTTCAGTAAAGGAATCCACATAGTCTTCCAACATCACCAGACCAGTGTCTCTCCCACGATGTTTCTTTCTTACAAACATTGTGTCTAGCACTGGCAGCTTATACCTCAGCTCACCACGAGAGCCATAAGCACTTCCTGAAATAACAGGAGGGGGAAAAATACCCATCAGTACTCCAGCATTGACATGCTGCAGCATGAATTTTAGCACAGTCAAATAAAAACTTCTGTAATTTATAAAAATTATTCCAAAATATGTAATTTTAAGTCACATAAAATTCTACTTAAAACAAAAAAATAATTTATAACATTCATTAAAAATAAATAATTGTTATCAGTCATTTCTCGTCTTTTGGGGCAAAATTCATAATATTGCCAAGATATATCACTAGATTAATATGTCAGAAAAAGTCTGCAGTACAAGAAAAGAGCTGCACAGATAGACAGGAAAGGCTCACTTCGAAATCTCACTATACAACTCCATAGGAAAATTATAATAAAAATGAAGCTGAAAGAGGGAGGAGGGAAAAGGAGACAAAATTCTTGAATTGCATCTTCATGTAGATTATGCCACTCCTTAGAACAAACATGAAGACTGAAACAATAATTCCAATTTTTTAAATGAAACCACAAAAAATCCTAAGACACTTTACATTGGAATTCTCCCATAAACAACACATTATCCATAATTCACCAAAGACGAAACAGACTGTCACAACACATAGGTACTTTAGTATCAGGGGATTCAAAGGGTAGCTATGGACTCAGTGGTGACAAAGGGATGCTATATAATGGCATTAAGACAGGCCATCAACTATCCAATCCACTTTCAGGCCCTCATCTTGTGAGTCAGTGTGAACTATGCCAAAAAGTTTCCTTTTCTCTAACAAGCCCAAAGAGAAGCATACTGTTGTCTATACAACATAGTCTTTGCAACCTTGTACTTTTGAGACAAATGAATATACTTCTCGTTTTTCAAGCAAGAAAAACGTAGGCAGACAGGTTACATTAATTGCGTACCCTTTGGGATACCAGCCAAGATCCACCACTCTT